TACGTCGTGAAATTTATATATATGTTGTAAAAAATTATAATTATAGAAATTACTAAAAATAAAATGTAACATACACAAAATATGTTGTACATCAAAAAAGCTATAATAAATTTAAGAAATATAAAATATTTTATTTTAAACGGCTTGAATAGAAAATTTAGTGAGGCCACCAGTAAGCCACACGGCATGGAACATGTTAATAATACCACACAATATTATTCGAAACACGTAAATTAACATTTCAAAAACAGGACATGTTGATTTATGTTTCCGGTTTGCAATGAGTTAAAAAATATATGAATTAAAGAGTATGTAAGTGTAGACAAGAACATTATATAAGGACTAGTTTATCTCTGCAATATTTGGGATATTTTTCATTAATTTGAGAATGAAAAAATCTTTTTACTTTTTATTTTATCCTCGTATATGTGAATACAATAAAAATAGGATAAATTTCAATATGAAATAAAGAAAATCATACAATGCAATATTATAAGCATAATGATATACAAGAATGTTATAGATAAAAACATAACAAATATATAATGTCATAGATCCATTATTTTAAAATGGATGGGCTAGGACTTAGATTCGTTGAATATTTAACTCTGGAATATTTAATAAATGTTCTTTATAAATAAGAATTAAAGCAACATATATTGAATTATTCAAAAAGTGTATAGTCTTTTTTATGACAAAATCAAAAACAATTTTTATATATTTATATGTTCATTTATTTAGTAATATGTATAAACAAGTTGTTAAAGATGGCCAAATGTTGTCGAAAACAACGTACATATATTATTGAATAAAGATGGATTTAAATATAAAACAATTGTTTTTTATTTAGTCATAAAAATTGCTACAAATTTTCCGAATAACTTAATATATTAAAATTTTTGAAATACATATGCGAATGTAAATATAAGTTAAAAATAAAAAGAATATGTTTTACACAAACGGGACAAAAATTGAAAATTTATGTTTTACATTTGAAATAATTTATTTAATAAAAGAGCGCATTTTTCGTTATTGATTTTTGTTTGGTTATTGATTTTGAAATATATTTGAAATATAGTCTTGCTATACGCTAATTTCTTCAGAATCTTTCCTAGCCTATCCATGCATCCGTGGTCCCATGATTTAATTGATTCCATGGTCGAGCACGGAAATTCAAGATTCGTGGTCCCATCGATGATGGTCGAGCACGAATTTTGAAATAATGTTGATAACGATCGACCATCGAAATGGTCGACTATCAACACAAATTTCAGAACTCTGCGCTAAGCGTCTTATAAAAACTACCGCTCTTAAATTTTTTAATGTCGAGAGATACAATTTGCGTACTCGCCAACATTCGCTTTTGTTCGGGCAACTTATGTATCCAGAAGCGATCCTATCAGCGCGATACACTCGTTTACGTGTGATAAGGCAGCGCCCTATGCGACCACCTTGGAAAGGGGAACAGCAATAGAGAAATTATAGTCGAATATATAGTCGAAATATATACGTGTATACACTTTCGTATGTGTGTGACAAGCACACATTGTTAAGCGATAAAGCACATACGCGTTTGAATAGCGATGCGGTTATCGAAAAATTTCAACGACAATCTATTTAGAAAAATTGCTTCCTAACCATTTAATATCCCCTTCGATGAGCCATAACACACTCATTACAAAAAAAGTCGAATTCTTATGCATGTCGTGCTTTTAATACTTTTATTAATAAGAATCAATATCTATATAATATTTATTATTTTCAACAACAAAATATAATCGTAAAAACATGTAAAAATTGATTTCTTGGTTTGCAATGACCCGGCATAACGGTGAAAGCAGAAATTTTAGGAACCTTTCGTTTTTTTTTTTTTTTTTACTTTGCGCTTGGGGCGCGTGAGCCACTTCTAGCATAGGGGCGCTTAAGACGGTCGCAACGCCTCCGTCGCGTAGCATGCTAAAACAGATCGAATTAAGCATTAAGCACTATTCCAGCACAATTCAATGCGCAGTAACATGCGCAGTAACAATCGATAGTAACATGACGTTTTACATGTACATTTAGATTACGAATAGTTCTCTTTAACTATATTTGACTAGTTACAATGATTGAATTGTTAAATATCATTATCTCTTCTGTTTTAAGTAATTTTATTATTACACTCATCAATTATTGTGATTGCAAAGTTTGATTAAACGCTATCGTTGATAATTCTAATTGTAAATTAATTTTCAAACTTAAATATCTAAGATTGGACTTCTAATCTAATAATGAAATCATTTGAAATTTAATTAACAACAATCTGGTTTTGTAACAATCTGATATATTGTATTTTATGAAATGCTCTATTTTTTATTTTATTGTCTTTAATGCATAGAAAAATATATTTTCATTGAAGCATCACAAATAAAATCTGATAGATTTTTCTTCACGAAGGTTTCTTTCAATAATGTGTTAAATTACCTGTAATTAATGCAGCTCCAGTTTAATCAGCATCACACAATTAAGCTGATGATTGTATTTCACATTAGCATACTTCGCACGATAATAGGCCTCGGGAGTGCCTTATGAAATGATTCCACGATGGTCACGATCGTGCGTGTTGATTAGTGTGATACCGGATCGTAATTAGCGGAGTTTTCCCATCGATTGGCGTTTATGTGAACGAACAGCCCCGAGCAATGAAACAGCTGCTGAGAAGACAGCAAGCGGATATGCTCGGATAGACTGCTCGACTAAATTCATTTAATACGCTAGCATGATTAATTGTTTATTTATTCACGATGATTTAACGATGATGTGGAGCGCACTAAATTTCAGCTCTTGCGCGCGTATGTTACATTTTTTTCTATTACGGATAAATATAACGACAATACAGCGATAAATTTCGAATTTTTTTCCCAAAAGTTGGAATTTTTATAACCACTCTTGAAATTAAAATAATATATTAGATGCGCGTTATTTCACGTGCATCCTCTATCTCTATTATTAGAATTAAATAACGTAATGCAGCGATAATCTTTGACATCATTAGTTCGTATTTCCCGACGAATAGTAGCAACCGAAACATCATATTCAATGTTGATCAATTACGTACGATGAATATACACAATAATTTGATACCAAAGCCAGAGCTACGATTCGTATTGCTTCGAAAGTACTACGGTAGTTCCGAATGCGAGTAGTTCGTCCAACTTCGCTCGTACTGTCAGCGAAAACTCGATTCGCACTCCTTGACGTAATTTTGCGCGCCGCATACTCCGCGCTACCCAAGTTGTTTTACTTCCCAGACTGCGGTAAAACGTGGCGTGGATTTTTCCGCGATACAAAACGGTGCCACGCCGTTCGTATTGTCATCTCGATTTGCAATCCCATATCGGACATTATGGACGCGAATACTGGCGAAAGTTATCCGTGTATCGCAGTTGCGAGTCACTCACTCACGTTATCGATTCTATTTATTTCGGAATTGTATCGCGTAACGCGTTCTTTTTCCTTCGGCTTCCCCGCGTTTCCGCTCCATACAGCCGAGGTAAGAATTCTAAAATGTAGAATTCAAGCGTGTATTCGCTCTTTTTATTGTAGAATATACATCGTTGGCGCTTTAGGATGCAAAAATTCAATAGTTCTGGTTTGAGCCCCCAGGTTCTTTTCCGCGGTTTAACAAGTACGTTAGCGTATCGACGTAAAAAGTTTCGTTGATTGATCCTTCTAACTTTATACGTGAAGAATGGTGTTAAAGTTTAACTCGAGATTAATCCTGAAAAGCTTATTGAGCTTTTTTGAGAAGATTAGATTTACTCGGCAAAGAAAAATAAAGTTCTATTGAAGATAACAGAATACGTGGATGATATTATATTTTGTCGTGAATATCAATTCACATTGCTTTTGTAATGTTGCACAGTTCAAGATTAGAAAAGGAATATTTGATAAAGGTGACACGGTAAAATTCTTGTATGAAAAGGTAATCGCAGGAGTAACTCGAGATAAGTGTACGGTCTATTCTCTGCAACATAGATATGACTCTTATTTAAATCTTGTTGCACTGCAACAGCGAGAAATGAGGTCGCTGGCGAATGGCGACAACTTTATC